ATCCTGGGACTCCAGGATCATGACCCGAGCCGAAGGCAGTCGTTTAACCAACTGAGCCACCCAGGTGCCCCCTTATTTAGTCTTATTTATTATAATTCATCATCTGTAAATTGGAACAAGCAAAAGTAGCACAATATTCACTAATAACCTTTACTCTGTGTCCTTTTGGACAAAAACTGCTGCATACACATTTCTAAATTTGACAAGGCCACAAGGTAACTTGGAATGAATGCCAAATACTGGAAAGAGTTTCTGATTCTTGCCAACATGGTGAATAGCATGGGCTGCCTGGATCCCTTCCCAAAAATCAACCCTGCAGTAACTATGGAAGTGAGGAAACCACAAAATGCAGAAGCTAAACAACAGCAACAACACAGTGGAGATCCCTGGGGAGACTCAGGCGCGTGTCCTGCCAGGGTATGTGGGTGGGACAGGGTGGCTGCAGCCTGACGTGAAGGGCTGCAGGGGGCAGCCCCAGGAGACAGATTCTAGAAACGTGTCTTAAGTTCCATTTCTGCCACCTCTACCCCATCGCCTATTCCTTGCCTACTCCAGGAATGTAAAGGACCAGTGCCAGTGTTTGAGAAGTAATTTCAGGACAGCTCAAAGGCCTGGGGGGTGGGAAGGGGTGGGGAAGATCAGATGGAAGCAAGTGCGTGGACAAGATCTCACGAAGGCTGGAAATCAGTCGCAAATCACTGCAATCTATGATTCAATTAAATCAAAGTTAACCTCTGATTAACTTTGCCAGATGCCCAGCAAGAAGCAAAAGTAAGTCTTCCTCGGAGGAAGTTATCATCCTGAGCCTCAAATTATTCCTATACTTTTTAAAGTACGACATTGGGCATTCGATGAAAACATAACCAGGCATATGAAAGAGACATATCTAAATGACTGACAACTGAGGAGGGAAGCAATCATCTGAAAGAAACCCCAGGAGATGCAGGTATAGTATTGACATGCAGACTTGACAATAACTGTGGTCACGATGTGCAAGAAAGTAGAGGGCAAGATGGGTAATCTCAGCAAAGAACTCTATTTTTAAAAAGAATTAAATGGAAATTCTAGATCTGAAAAAAATTATTAAAAAAAAAACTCAAAATAGGATTTAATAGAAAATTAAATATAGCCAAAGAAATAGTTAGTCAGTATGAAGGGAAGATAAATTATAGGAGAAAATATCCAGACTGAAGGATAAAGACACAAAAGAACAGAAAATATAGACAAGACAATAAGAGACATATAGGACAAGATGGGTCTAATGTACGTATAATTGGAGCTCCAGAAGGTGAGGAAAGATTTTAAAAAGGTGATAAAAGTAATGTTTAAAGAAGCAGTGGTGGAGAATTTTGCAAAACTGAGGAAAGATAAGACATCCCAAGTTCAAAGAACCCCAAAAGATGTGTTTTGGTTTTCTTTTTTTTAGATTTTAATTTTTATTTATTTATCCTTTTTTGTAAGTAATCTCTATGCCCAACGTGGGCCTCAAACTCATGACCCAAGATCAAGAGTTGCATGCTCCACTGACTCAGCCAGCCAGCACCTAGTTTTGGATTTTTTTTAAATCAACAACATATCCATATACATACAGTCATCAAAAACTGCTGACAACCAGCAGAAAATCTTAAAAGCAGCCAGAATGGAGCAGGAGGGGGAAGACACACAACTTCCAAAAGAGGGAACAATAAGATTGACAGCTGGGGTGCCTGGGAGGCTCAGTCGTTAAGCGTCTGCCTTCGGCTCAGGTCATGATCCCAGAGTCCTGGGATCGAGCCCCGCATCGGGCTCCCTGCTCTGTGGGAGGTCTGCTTCTCCCTCTCCC